TGCCCTGGTTCCTCCCACTGGCCACTCAGCCAGCTGCCTCTCCACCGGTGATCATTTGGTCGCTCACCCACCCGGGAGCTGGAGAAAAACAGTCATCAGCCTCCGTGAGGTCAGTGTGGGGGAGAGGAGGGACAAGGGATAGAACTGTGCAGACATCCAGCACAGACATAACATAAACACTAAGCATAAACGTAAATGTGCTAAATGAAAGATCTCCTTAAATCCCCACCTCCATAAGCTGCCTTTTCTGGAGACATCTGTTGGGTCCTGTCTGTCATCTTGAAAGCCTAAACATCTGCTCAGCCTTTTCCATCATCTCATTTATTTTTGTTTTAGGATATGTTCACTTGTTATAACAGGTTAGTGGCGTGCAAAATCTGCGGAGTTCAGCATCACGGCCTAATCATCTGCATTCATAATATTACCGAAACCGGGGACCTGCAGCTTGTGTGGTCAAGACTGGTGCCTGGCCCCAAAAGCTGCTTGTGGGCAGAGCAAGGGGCAGTGGGCAGCAGGCATTTACCACCTGCACCAGTGGCCCCACTGCGGCTCAGGCTGCAGGCAGAGGGCCTCTGTGAAGGCAGCAGCAGTGGCGCCTGGTTCAGGGCTGCTAGGAGGAGTTTGGGGCTCCACTGGGCCAGCGCCAGTGCTGTGGCTCCCCCCAGCTGCAGGCAGTAGAGAGGCCTGCGGATTTGGTGCCTGGATCATGGAATGGGCCAGTCAGGTGTGACCTATGAGCAGAGTGGTAAATGGTCCAATCAGCCAGAGGATTGAAAAAGGGCCAATTGACTTATGGGTGGGGGAACCATGGAAAGAGGAGAGAAGGCAGGGCAGGCACCAGCTTGGGATTCACTCTGTTGCCGAGGAAGTTGCTGTTCCTGGCCTCCAAGGAAAGAGGAGACTGATTTTCTCTCTCTGTTCCTGGCCTCAGAAGAAAGAAGAAAGAAGCAGCATCCAGGAGCTGACCTCCACAGAAAGAAGAGAAGCCAAAAAACTTGGCAGAGATTGGGCTGCCTGCACCTGCCTCGGGCCCTGCCTCTGACGCTGCCTGAAAGGAGCACCAAAGACCGTGGACCTAATGTCCCAAAGAGCTGTTTGTTGTTGATGTGGGCCAACAACTCACACTGCCTTTGGTGACCAGGTGACCAGCACTACTGGCCATTGCTACCCAGCACTGTTGTCAAGTGACTGGCCCTGTGTCCGGGCCTTTTGAGAGCTGTTGATCACCCAGCACCACCTCTCAGTGCTGCTACCTCTATTGCTGTCTGGCCCAGTGTCCAGTGCTGTCTGGCTCAGTCTCCAGTGCTGTCCATCCCAACCTTCAGACTGGCCCAGGCTGCTGTTGCAGCAGCATCTCAGCAGCCCTGCCTGTGAGCACCTCCAGCTGTGGTGAGTGGGATCCTGGCCTGCTGCTTGCTGGTATCCCACAAGCTCCAGGCCCTCCTTGACAGTCCAGCACCGTCTTGAATGAGCAACCTTTTGTTTAGGACTTTTGGACACTGTGGGCACCATCAGGGTGAGACTGGCCACTTGTGTCATCAGAAGCTTTTTTTCCCCGTTTGTTAAATAAACCCCATTGTTCCCTGAGCCTAAGTCATCTTGCAGTTGTGCATGCCTGTGAAGAACCCAGAGTCTTCCACCAAACAGTTCCGCCTATAGCTCTGTTTCATTACTGTTGTATATTCATTTTGAATAATCTGCAGGTCTCTGTATTTGCTATAGAAAAATTAACCTAAGAATCTTATCATAGGGAAATTGAACTGAAAACAGATGATCTTAGACTTAGCTTGAGGAAGTAGCCTCATTCAAATTAAAACCAGTGCCTGCTTCTAAACATTGAAAGGGACAGTACAAGTATATTGTCATGTCTGTCCCTAAGGAGCACAGACGTGAGCCATGATGAGGAGCCAAGAACAGACATATTCTGGTGCGAAGTCCCACAAATCGTCCTGAAATACAGCAGAGAGTCGTGGAATGCTCACTGGCTAGTCCTTGAAGATGCTTTTTACAGCCTCGAAATCTGTCTCCTCAAAACCATTTTAAACCTTCATTGCAGATGTAATGAGTTCTGTACTAAAAGAGATTCATTCCTCAGCAATCCATTTAAATTAGGCTTCCTGACAGTTCATCTGACACTGGATTTGAAGGGATTCCTTCAGCTGTAAAAAATCCCAAAGCCTTAGGACACAAGATTTAAACAGATTTTATACCAAGTAAAATATAGTCATAAAACATCCCAGCTCAGTTCTCTCGGGCATTTCTAGCTGTGCCCAAGTTCTGTCTTGTTTGTAGTGTGAAAGCACCTTTGGATACCTGGGGATGAGATATTTTTCATTTTAGTTATGTCTCTGATGTACCGTAATGGAGTCAGCTGCCCGTAAAAGAACAGCGTGTGATGGTATATTGAGAAAACACCAACCCTTGTTTTATTACCCACGAGTGTTGCCCACCCATGTGAAGCTTCTAAGGCATTAATTTTAAAGACTTTAATCCACAGTAGCCTAGTAACAAGGTTAGGCAGCGAGGGACTAGCTACAAAGTCACAGCAACAGAGTACTGTAAAGTAAGAGTCAGTTCAAGGGAGGGTGAGAGCTGGCTCGTAGATAATAAAAATCAGGTGGACTAGGCAAATTAATCAAATTGGGCACAGAGTATGAATCATAATCATTGATAATTTTCACTAAGACATTTTCATTCAGTCTTAATATCATTTTCATTTTGTTAAAAAATACTTTCTAATTTACATTTGTTCTTTGATCTATGGGGTGTTTACCCTTTTTATTTTAAGATAATTGATTAAAATATAGTTGTAAGAAATAGTACAGGAATCCCACATATCTTGTACCCAGTTGCACCAATGGCAGGGCTTCGCAGGGGAAGAGAATGACCTTCAAACCTTTGTTAGCAGGAGGGCCTGGGAAAGTTGTAAACTAGTGACACTCTCCTGCTCCTGCAGTGGTCACTTTGAGAGCTTCCTCAGACCTCTTTTGTGAACACCTAGTGGGCACAAGGAAGGAATGGTGCCCGTGTCTACAGTTCTCAGAAGCTTCTCACTCTTGTGCTTGTGCTTGTGTATAGGGAGCCCAAGAAATTTGTAAAAATTACTATTTCATGTTTCCACTGGCTTATGGCATGCAGCAGCCTCTTCTCCAGGTAAGGGCATTCCATATTCTGTATCTCTGCAGCTATATTTGATAATCTAGATTCTGGAATAGTGGTTTTCCCTGTAACCTCATTTTTCTGCTGGGTCCAAAAAATAAAAGGGGGGGGATATTCAGTGTGTATCTCTTTTTACAATAAAGACATTAGTAACAACTTCCCTATTCTGTATATTTTGGAGCTGCAACAAGAAGTTATGCCTTATTTACTGTCCAACCCATAGTCCTGATTCTTCATCTGATTAAAAACCAATGGGGGATATGTCTAAAAAAATTCAGTGCTAAAGGGAAGAGGCTGTAGGTTAAATGGATCAATCTGCAAGGACTATATAGGGAAACATAAAGAAAAATAATATGTTTGAAATATTGAATTAATTTTCAGGGCTTAATGACCTAATAAAGTAAATAGTCAAAAGGTTCTAGCACTTTATTTTCAGACAACCCTATCAACAGATTAATTTTTGTACAGAATTAGTATATATCAAACTTCCTAAGATTTGCTTGTTCTAAAAATTGAATATTTTGATCAAACATGGTTATAAACATGAAGGAAAAACTGATTTTAGTAAAAATCACACATTTTTGTTAAGTATGAAATACAAAACATTTTTATTTCAGTGATCATAAAAAAAGGGAAGGAATGGGTATGAAGTCAACTATTTAAATAGAACACATATGTGAGTCCCCCTTTTAAAATGTCATAATAGGGCCTTTCAATGATGCAGTGGGTTGAGCACAGCGCTGTGAAGCTGTCCGCAGCCTCTGCAGAGTGGATTCAATTCCCAGCCAACCGGGGAGATGCCCACATCGAATGGCAGACCTCTCCTGTCTCGCCCGCTGCTCTCCTCAGCAGTGCTTTCAGTCTGTCTGCCTGTTCTGCTCCCCATTCTGTCTCTGGTGAATCCTCTCACCCTCCTGCGCCTCTGGCCTGTACCCCAGTTCTTGTATAAATAAAAATAAATCTTTAAAAAAATAAAATGTCACAATATGGGAGAAGAAAGATGTTTTTACCACATTCCTTTCTGGAAACAATTTAATGCAAAAAAAAAAAAAAAACAGTGAAAAGAAAAAAAGTAGAAAGCAACCACAAATCTGCCAATACCAGATGGGGATGGGAGGGGGGTGTGACACTAAAGTGGTCATGAAATTAAAAGAAAACACCAAAAACATACAAATATCTACAATTCTAGGATCAGGTCCAGAGGTTTGGAAAAAAAAAAAAAAGACAAACCCTTCCAGAAGCTTCTACCTGGCACAATGCTGTGTTTATGTTGGGGCAAAAGGGTAACCATCTAGATGAGCATCCTTGAATGTGGTCCCCATGTCAGAGGGGATGCTCCCTAGTGTGCTGTGACTGCTTCACTGGATTCCTGTGCTCCCACAAAGACTCAGCCATGGGTAATTGTTTGATCATTCTCTCGGGACTCCTAGAGGGGCTGCCGAGCCATTTCAGGGTCCTCAGCCAGGACCAAGGTATGTATGCCTTCTCTGACACAAAGGTGAGGCAGACTCCTCCCTGTCCCTTTGTGCCGCTGCATGGCACTGATGACATACCAAAGCCTGACAGGGCTGTAGCTAAGTCTTCCAGGGTGTGGAGACGTTTACAGGTCTGTAACTGGGTCATGGTTGGCAAGTCACAGGTGGGCAGGAGAACTGCCACTGCTGCTCTGTGAATGGAAAATGTTTGTGAAAAGACACTTGCATAGTTACAGGCCAGCAGGAGAGCTCTGTAGTTCTAAATTTTTATCCAAGTCATTCATTTAACAACACATTATGAATTAGTTCCCTGTATTATTTTTGACCCAAGTAGGTTTTCTTAATTTGGGCAATATTTTTTTACAGGTGATTATGTTGTCATGACTATATATTTTGAGTTGAGTAGAAGAATGGGCTATTTCACTATTCAAACATACATCCCCTGCATCCTCACTGTGGTTTTGTCATGGGTGTCATTTTGGATCAAAAAAGATGCTACACCAGCAAGAACAGCATTAGGTGAGTTTCAAGTCACTTTTCTACCATCTTGTATAATTTTAATAAGAAGTATTTATAAAAATGCCTCTTTTTTAATGAAGGGGGTTTAGTTCAAATGTATTTGATCTAATTTGAGGGCTACTTGAGCTACACTTAGCTTTCTTAGTGTAGCCAAGATAGATTTTTCCTCCTTATAATAAAATTCTACATGTACCACTTACATTAAGCAGGCATTGGGGATTCAGAAGAGATCAATTCAGAATATATCCCTGTGCTCTAAAAATGATATGATCATAAAAATGTAGTCACATCCCCAGAAGCTGCTACACCCCAGTCTCCTTATACTCTCTTATACTATTGGTGGGAATGTAGACTGGTCCAGCCCCTGTGGAGCACCAGGTAAAGTTTCCACAAAAGATGAAAAATGAAAAAAAAAAAAGATGAAAAATGGATCTGCCATACAACACAGCAATTCCACATAATAAAAAATTTATGAAAATGTACCGTATAAAATTTTGTGCCCATAAAAATCAAAGGTGATACTGCATTTATGTAATGTTGACAAGAATTCACATAGAAATGAAATAGCCATGCTGCAGTGGATGGGTCCGTGGGGCACCTGTAACAGTTGGCTACCTGTGTCCATGCAGGCATCACCACAGTGCTGACCATGACCACCCTCAGCACCATCGCCAGGAAGTCCCTGCCCCGAGTGTCCTATGTGACCGCCATGGACCTCTTTGTGACTGTGTGCTTCTTATTTGTCTTCGCTGCTCTGATGGAATATGCCACCCTCAACTACTACTCAAGTTGTAGAAAACCAGCCACCACTAAAAAGAAAACTTCAGTGAGTCTTAGTAGCGAAGATTTTTGGGAAAAATAGTGGGAGGATCGTTGGAAATAAATGATCCTTATTCCTAAGGGTTTTAAACAACATGATGTAAATACCTAATTTGACAAGACATTAGAAAAAACGAGACAGGTATTCTGGCGGTATAAATGTGACCGTTTTCAGCTGAAGCACCTCTCAGCATTTCCTACCTGTGACATGAATTGATGTAATCACATATTAAAGGCTCTTTAACTAGAGTGATCATTGATGCAGATTTCCATGGCAGTTTTCTAATTTTTTCTTTTTTTTTTTTTTGCTTTTCTTGTAGTTATTACATCCAGATTCCTCAAGATGGATTCATGAGCGAATAAGCCTGCAGGCTCCCTCTGTATGTATAGTAGTACTGCAGGTGCAAATATTTCTGGGAACTCTTAGTAAACTAAGATTGCACTGAAAAGATCTCTTACTGTTTATGCACGCCTGTATTAACAATGAGGGATGAACATACTCCCTTCAAAATATATTTACTGTTAACATCCAATTTACAAAATTTGGAAATTAGAGGAGTTATTCCTAATCCCTTCTAGGGATTACTGTGTGGCACACATATTTCTGATATTTTCTGAGCATTTACATATATATATACAAGAATTTTGGGAAAACTTATGATCTCTATATTATTTGACAGCCTCTTTGTAACTCAAAGATACGAATAAGTGCCTGTGTCATAAATATTATTTTACTGGATTATTTGAACGACTGCATCCCATACTTATAACTGATGTACAAGCAATCTTGGTTGGACACTGAGCTTTTTAATTATATATAAACTCTTATCACTATAGTTTTGTGTACACCTGTGTCTATTTTCTTAGTACCAATGTCTGGAAGCAGAATGGTTGAGTCAAAGAGGTCGCATGGTCTTTGCCAAATGGCCTGCTGCCAGCTCCATGAGTAGCGCAGGATGCTCACCTCCCAGACTCTCCTACGTTAGGCTTGACAGCCAAACAGAAAAACAGCTCCTGCCAAACATGCCCATTGACATTTCTTTGATAATTTATTAAGTTTAATATTTTCACTTGTTTTTAATTTGCTTTTCTGTTTTTGTGAATTGCTTTTTATGTCTTTTAATTTGTATGTTTTTGATATATCCTTTATAATATATTGTCCTAACATGTTTTAAGTAGCAATCTGCCAATTATCTGTTATGTATTAACATATATTTATATACACGTACAATATTTACATAGTCTCATATAGGGTACAATAGAGATATTAACATTTTTGTGTGCCTTTGCCCACATGCACTGTTTTCAGTTTCACATGGTTAAATTTACCTGTCTTCCTTCTGTGGTCCCTGCTTTTAGTTGACTGCCTGGGAAGACTCTTTGTACCTTCAGAGTGTCATGACTCCCCCTCACTTCTTTTAAGTGCTTACTCTATTTGATGCTATCTTCTTTTTTTTTTTAAGATTTATTTATTTATTTATACAAGCACTGGGTATAGTCAGAAGCACAGCAGGGTGAAAGAATTCACCAGAGCCAGAGCAGGGAGCAGAACAGGCAGACTGATGAAGTACATTGCTGAGGGGAGCAGCGGGCATGGCAGGAGAGTTCTGTTGCACCATGTGGGACCCTCGCCAGGGACTGGGCATCGAACCCATGCTGCAGAGGCTGTGGGCAGCTTCGCAGCCCAGCACTCAACCACTGTGCCACCAGGGGAGGCTCTGATGCAAGCTTCTAACTGCTTTCCTTTATCAACTCATTTTTACCTCACTATAACCCATTCTACAGATGAGGAAACTGAGGTTTGGAGAAATTGAGTCCTATAAAAATGAGTGAAACTTTTTTTTTAATGTCATATTCAGTTATTAATGGATCTGAATTTCTGGTAAATGGCTTGAGGTAGGGTTCTAACTTTAAAGAAAAATAAGAAATGTATCTTTTCTCATAACAACTTTTATCATATGACACTTTTGTCATATAACAACCTTTATATATAATCATTTCTTGTATTTTATATATAATCAATTCTATATATACATGAATTCACTAACTACACTGAATGATTTATGCCCTTACATGCATCTTAGGGGAGTTTCTAACTGCTAACTCTATCAGTAACTTAGAGTTAATGCATTTCGTAGAGACTATGTGTCATTGCAGTTCTGACAGAAAGTGAGTAAAGCCATTTTTATAGCCACGGGAAGCCACAGTGAACATACAGATTTTGCCAGCAAATACTACCAAATAACAATAGACTGAAATAGAATGGAAAGGGACATAGAAGGGGGATGCGGGGGAACGAGAGGGGAGCTGAATAACAGAGGCAAATCACATACAGCCAGGAGGGTGGGGGTAGGAGAAGAAATAGCAACATCTTTGATGTCAATAGTAGAAATGATACCCCAAAAGGAAGAAAGAATCTTTTAGTGCAGAGAAAAAGAAATTGCCACAAAAACAATATAGAAAACATTTCTCAAGAGGGAACGTATAAGAACCTTGAAGAAAATCCATAGAAAAATAATTTGTAGACAGAAAAAGTGTCAGACAAGGTGAGAAAACACAATCAGAGAGACATTCAATTCGAGTTTAAACAGTTGGATAATTGTCAACATTTTCAACCCTGTTTTGAAAGTTCCACAGCCTTAGTCTAGTTAAGGGGCCATAGTTACAACAAGGAAAAGCAAAGATTAGCCTCCTGCCAGCCATGAGGAACAGGATTAAGGATAACATGTCATGTGCTTCATGTAAATAGTTTCCATGTCTCCGCCTCTGCTTCTAACCTGCAAAATGCAAGGCTAACCCGCTGCACGTGTGCGCCCAGGAAGCCAGCGGCTCCAGGGAGTCACTGGCTGCCTGTACACATGGAATGAGTCACGGATCCAGCTGGGGGGAAAATTACCTTGGAGACTCATTAATTAAAAACTTCATTTTGGACACAGTTTGAAATTTTCATGACAAATGAGAGGAATGCATTTAAAGGAGTACTTAAGCAATGTAACATATGGCTGTTTAGGGCTTTTAACATCCCAAGTTTTATTTCAATATTGTAAATTGGAATTAGTTTCATTTCAAAGCAGTGAGGTAAAAAGACATAAATAGTGCTCTCTTAATTACTGGATCAGGTTTATGTCTCAGCTTGCTTGTGTTTATGATTCCCTACATGAAGAAGTGAAATACAGCTTTCTCATCTACCTAGAAACCTTGCTGCTTGTAGGCCTGTGGCTCAGGTCACCTGTTAGATCTCTAGTGAACTGTCCCCACCCCTGAAGAAGCTTCTCCTGGCCACTCTGTCATTGATCTTTGAGGTGGCCCTGCCTGTGATTGCCTGGTCTCCCCTCCAAGTGGCTGTACATAGGCACACAGCATTGATGGTCTGGCTCACACTGTCAAAACACTCATTCAGTTTATTATTTAACAAAGACAGATTTCTCCAGTTGGAGCTTATCAAATAGTCACTGGATTAGAGTCAGGAATCTTTTTTTCACTAAATGCCCACTAAATTTTTTTTAAGATTTATTTTATTTATACAAGAACTGGGGTACAGGCCAGATGCTCAGGAGTGTGAGGATTCACCAGAGACAGAGCAGGGAACAGAACAGGCAGACTGACAAAATACACTGCTGAGGGGAGCAGCGGGCAAGACAGGAGAGAGGTCTGCTTGCCATGTGGGCTGCTCCAAGGCCTGCGGGGATGGAACCGGCACTGCAGAAGCTGTGGACAGCTTCACAGCGCTGCGCTCAACCACTTGAGCCACCAGGGAGGCCCTCCCACTAATTTTTATACCCACTCAGGTTTAACAGCCATCGACCTGGAGGAGATACAGCCGCCTTACAGCTGGACAGTGAGGCTGCTATTTCTCCCACTGCTCAGAATTGTGAAGGGACACAGGCTGTTGCGCCATGACCCTCTAGCTTTGACCATTGGCATGTGGACAGCTGGCAATGTTTGTGAACACAGTGTGGGACATTTGGCTTTGAGTCAGTCCTCATACACGCACACTTCACATTTAAAAGGATGCCTCAAAAGGTTTCCAGTAATGACTCTGAGTACTTCAGACTTACACCTGCTTCAGTTAAGAACATATTTAATCAAATGACCATCCAGAAGAAGGAAAAGGCTGCCATGGTCCCTTGTGATAGTAGTTAGGGTAAAAATACAAGAAATATTCCTGAGACCCTCTAAGTGAATCCTGAAGGGTCTCTCCCAGCATTGGCAAGGGAGACAGCTGGGAACTGGACCTCGGTGTCCATCCCACCCTTGACCTCAGGCTCAATGGTTTGCTTTGGCAACCTTCCATGTCTAGTTCACCCTGCACATAGCAAACCAAAGCAGAGAAAGGCAACAACTCTGATTTTGAGTTCTTTTACATAAGTTAGCCAAATTTAGAAATGTATCCTCTTAACAGACTTCAATTTTTCATAGTGACTTGGTAAATCTCAACTGCTACCTGAAGCACTGACACATCTATTGGGAGCCACTTCTAAGGTGGAGAGAGAACCGTCTCACATACTAGTGAACGCAGTCGTCCTGGCTCCTTTATCTGCCCACCCTGATATTTGCACATCAGGTAGAGCATGTAGAAAGTAGAAAATGAAACTTTCCAAACATACATCTTTGGCAAAGCCTCTTAAAGGATGAATGGTGCCCAGAGACCACATAATGATAGCTCATATTTTTAATACATTTTATATAATCCTTACATCATTTTTCATTTTTGCACAATGTATGTATTTTCATTTTGGTTATATTCCCCATACAATTGCACCCCCCTTATTTTGACCCAAATCCTTCCTCTCCTTCCCCTCGCCCCCCCATAGTGTGTCTCTGGTTTATAGTTGCTTGTTGATTTTGATTTTTTCTTTATTATAATTAGTCTTTTTCCTGGTCCCTTATTTAGGTTTTCTAAATTCCTGCTATGAGTGAGACCATCTGGTATTTTTCTTTTTCTTTCTGACTTATTTCGCTGAGCATGATCCCTTCCAGTTCCATCCAGTTGCTGCAAATTGCATGTGTTTATCTTTTTTGAATGCTGAGTAATATTCCATGGTGTATATGTACCACATCTTCTTGATCCAGTCATCTATTTTTGGGCATTTGGGTTGTTTCCAAAGCTTAGCTATTGTAAATAGTGCTGCTATAAACATGGGGGTGCAGGTGCCCTTTGGAATGAATGTTTCTGTGTCCTTTGGGTAAATACCTTGGAGTGGAATTGCTGGATCATATGGAAGCTCTATCTTTATTAGATTGAGGAATCTCCACACAGCTCTCCTTAGTGGTTGGACCAGTTTGCACTCCCACCAGCAATGCAGGGGAGTTCCTTTTTCTCCACAACCTCGCCAACAGTTGTTGTTGCTAGTTTTTTTAATATATGCCATTCTCACTGGGGTAAGATGGCATCTCATTGTAGTTTTGATTTGCATTTCCCTGATTACAAGTGATGTTGAACACTTTTTCATATGCCTGTTGGCCATTTGCATTTTCTCTTTGGAAAAAGTTTCTTTTCAGCTCTTCTGCCCATTTTTTGGCTGGATTATTTTCTTTGTTTTTGTTGAGTCTGATCAGCTCTTTGTAGATTTTTGTGATCAGTCCCTTATCATTAGTGTTGTGTGCAAAAATGTTCTCCCAGTTGGTGGGGTTTCTCTTTGTTTTGGTTATTGTCTCTTTTGCTGTGCTGAAGCTCTTTAATTTGATGTAGTCCCAGCTGTTTATCTTTGCCTTCACTGATAGCTCATTTTTTTTAATCTGAATTACATGGACCAAGATCCTCCCAGCATCCCTTTTTTATTATTTAATAATTAGGAAAAATATCCAATGCATCTTTCCACAATACATGTGTACTTTAAATGTATATTAACATTTAAAGGGTAATAAATGTATAGACTTGCTAAAATTCATCAGCAAGGTAGGCAGAACAGGACTTGAGAGGGCTGGTACGCATTTTGCAAATTTGCTCAGCCTCCCTCACCAATATTGAGAAATGCAAGGTTTGAAAACCACATTGTGCTTTTACTTGCATTAGATTGGCCAAGACTGAACTGGTGGGTCCTCACCAAAGTACGTGGAAGGTGAGGAGGTGCTGCTGTCCTCTGAATTGGGTGGGAAGACCTAGCAAGTCAGTTGCGTTATTGATTTCCAAGTGTTCTTACTGCATTTCCTGATGATTGTGATACTGTTCTTGTCGCCAACAGAACTATTCTCTCCTGGACATGAGGCCACCACCACCAGAGATGATCACTTTAAACAAGTCAGTGTACTGGCAGGAATTTGAAGATCCCTGTGTCTACGAGTGTCTGGATGGCAAAGACTGTCAGAGCTTCTTCTGTTGCTATGAAGAATGCAAATCAGGATCTTGGAGAAAAGGGCGTATTCACATAGACATCTTAGAGCTGGACTCCTATTCCCGGGTCTTTTTTCCTACATCCTTCCTGCTCTTTAACTTGGTCTATTGGGTGGGGTACCTATATCTCTAAATGTAGTTTCAGTGATGAGTAAAGAGTGCTAGGTCCCCCCTTTACTTTCTGCCCTCCCCAGACCTGTAGTGACCAGAGTAGCAAGGAAGGACACTGCTTGGTGTATTGAAGTTATATGTACCTTTCAGCAGCACAGGAGTCTGTGGCAAATATTTCTATTTTGTGTTTCACACATGCGTGTGGATGCACACACACACACACACCCACATACACACACACACAAGTTAATTGAATTATAAAGTGATATTCTTGCTAATCCCCTCCTGAATCTGTAGCTTGGTGATATTTACAAATTGTTTGGATATTGGAAGTAGATGCCATTTATCTTTGCAAAGAAATCTGTATAACATGCAAGCAAATATGGGAGAAGCTTTCTCAGACAGGACCTCTTAGGTATCTTCCCTTTGCAGCTTTTGTCACCAGTGTGCACAGGTTCGAGTCCCTGCTGGCTGAGATGCACTCATGCAGACCTCAGCCCCAAGTTTCTGGGGCATCCTGGGTTCAGGTGTGGACTGCAGTGACTTTTGATCCAGTTTCCTCCTTCTGTGGCCTCTTGCTCTGGCACCATCATCATTAGCTAGCATTCCTTTACCTAATAACCTCACTCAGCAGAGGGTGGGTGTACAAGTATCATCCACAAGTTTATAATTGAGGGAAAATTGTGAGTTTCAAAATTCTCACATTCTGAAGCCAACAGTCATGACTAAACCTGAACATCAGAGGTTATTGCTTTAGTCCAAATACTGAAATCAGGCAGTGTTTAAACTTAGGAATTTAGGGTTCTTGGAATAGTTCAGCTTGGGTTCAAAATCTTAACCTTAAGAATTGTATTTTACCAGGCAATGCTCAACTTCAGAGTATGTGACTTATGTTATGTTATATGTTATTATGGATTCAATGTTATCTTTGTCAAGCAAAAAAAAAAAAAAAAAACCCACATTCACAAGCCTTTGTCTTGAAAATGTATTCCAGAGTGTGAAGGAAATGTACATAGAATTTAAAATTTCTTAGTATATCTTAATTTTCACATGAAATCAGCTTTAGAGGCAAAAAAATGAGTAATAACTATCATCAATGATATATTTTGATGAACAAAAATTATTTTATACTTTGAAATATGAATAAGTAGCAAAATTCCAAAGAAAAAAATTCCCTGAAATTATTACTCTTTTGATATTTTTATAACACAAAAACAACTTGCTTCTTGATGTTAGTTCTTTGTTATAAGTGGATGCCACCATGTACTTCACAAGACTCTCCAGAAGCTTCCCACCATTGACAGGATAAAGAAAGTCCTATCAGTTCTCTGATAATGCATTGGCATTATTAAAATTTTGGTACTAAATTTTGATACCAGAATCTCTGTGCTTCTCATCTTTCTCACCCAGAAAATTGAATTGATTTTATTGAAAACCATCATATTTTATTTCAATGATATATGATACAGGCCATTATTATTCAGAAAGTAAGTAGAGCATTATGCAAAGCAAGTGTGTAAAAGTACTGATTTCACACAATTTGTGGAAAGCATGTCAGACATAAAAGGAGATGGAGTGGAAGAGAACAGTTGAAATTAGACAGAATTGGATGTTTACTCTTAGTAATATCATTGCCTACAAGGGAATGCCAGACACAGGGCATCACCCAGTTTTCGAGGACTGAATCTATGTGGTGTGAGACACTCATGTCCTGTCAACTCCCTGCACTTTGATTTAAAAGCTGCTACACTGAATCACAAGCTGTTGACTTCTATTTAGCAAATACAATTTAAAAGTTAAAATAATAATAAATATTTGTGTAGAAACCTATTGGCCAAACCTATTGGCTCAAATGAAATTTCTTCTTTATTGAAGAATTTCCCCTACTTGTACCCTCCTCCCTTCTCTCGTGGATAAATGCCCTTCCCATCATCAGCAGAGGTGGCCTGGAGGCTCCCTGACTGAATGAATGCCACAGCCTACACCAGAGCACTGAGCCCCAAGGAGAGTTAACCCCAGGTTGGCCTTTTTCAGACACAGTTCCTAACTATGAATTTCAATTTCTAACAACAAAGATTGTCAAACTGTGACACAAGAAATTCGAGAGAGAACTGGAATTTCTTGTTGGCAAGAAATAACCTAATAGCATATAGATTTCATGCAATTTTACTCAATTTTTTTTTTTATGGATACCTCTTGTATCAAAGCAACTCCATATTTGGACATCATTAGCAAGTCTCATAAAATTATACATTGTGACATATAAAAGCCAGAATCTTCTGTTACTGGCATACACCATTCTCTTCTCTCCAACCTCAGTCATCCTAATCCTCCTAAATTCATGGTTCCTCATCCATGAAGGAAAAACTTCATCTCCAGAGAGTCCTGTGGATGTTCAGTCAGAGATCATAAAATAGATTCCAGCACACTTAACAATCTACCCACTGCAGTGTCTGATCGAAAGCAACTAGAACAGCTCCCTGAGAGCACGCAATGCCTGTCTCTCTGAAGGCTTGCTTAATTCAGGCTCCCCTTACCAATCTCCACTCCTGAAATCAACCATTTTGGTGCACAATCAAGTCATGTGCATCTTCTGTGGGTGCAGAGCTCAGGGGCTTGTTGAGTATCAATATGTTTACTTTCTGGCCATAAGGAGGAAGAGGGGCACAGAGAGTGCCAGGGAAAAGCATCACCCTAATCGAAGGACTCACTGTCACCAGGATGCTTGGTTAATGGGGTATGTGTGGAACACAGGACACACAATTGTTCCACCAGACCCCACGTCCTTACAGCTCTCCAGTTTGCATTTCATGTTGAATTGATAAGTACTTTTGGTGATGGTTTGGCAGCCGTGGGGAAGTTGACTGAGTACCTGCATTCCAAGGTGCTACCGTGTTCTTAAATTTCAGAATTACTTTAAATTGGGGAAATGATGTCAGTTCTACATTTTAATATAGATTTCAAATTTCTGACTGCTGTGGTGATACTGATTTTCTCTCTTTAAACTGCATCCAGGCTAAGAGAGATGAGAAGCCTTTTTCACATTAATGGAAGTAGAACAAAATGCCTCTTCAGTATCTGTAGTTTCAAATTCTGCAGTTTCAACATCAATGTCCAGAACAGACACTCCTAGATACTGGACAGAGAAGATCAATGTTACTATAATTTCATACCCAGCAAATACTGCCCCCAATTTACTCAATATATGCCTTAAAATAACATACAGAGCTCAAATAATACCTATCCTGTAGCTTTCCCATGTCCTATAATCACCTACATATAATGCCAGGTTCTGTTTATTTTACAAATGAATGGAAATAGGATTTCATTTCTTTACATGTCAAACAGTCTTATCATTGTTTTTATATCAAAAAAGTTAAGAACAAATTTACTGTGGATTCTTTAATTGAAGAAATGCTTGTCCTTAGTAGCAAAGCATTTCCAGGCCCCGTATGGTAGATTGGAGCCAATTTAAAATTATTGGTTGTGATGGCATGTGAGTGTCCACATAGAACCTTCTCACCAAAACCTCACGGCCAGCAACCTGGTCGTTGCTTCTGCAGGAAGTGTTGAAGCATATGTTTTGCTACTCTATAAAATATTACATTCTAGAAGCAAAGGGGAGTAATCCATAACCCCATTTTGCTTTGACAACTGCTTGCCACAGTGAGGAGGCAATAGGGGCACTCTACCTAAAGGGCTAGAAAACAGGACAATTAAAAAAAAACCTCTTCTTCTTTGATCATTTTTATCTTGGCTGCCAATAACTGAAAATTTTCTGTGATTTCCTTTGCAGACTTGAAGAATTATAATTGGCTGCCAACCACTACATTTACATATTTGATGTTCTCAAGAAACAGCATTTCAATTCTCCATGATCTTGCATGATCTGAGTGATTTTTTTTTTTCTGAGCATTTATAAACTACATGAATATAAAAATTTTCATCCGTTTCTGTGAAAAGGAAAAGTTAGCCAATGACTCAAGCTAAAAATAATCAGATGTAAATATACATTGAAATGTTTATAAGTTTTGGGTTTTAGAACGTTATTATTTGAAAAATCTTCAGAAAAGTATTTGGAAATAAGGGAGAAAGAACAAGATTTTCAATATATTGTAAATGTGAAATTCACAATTTTCTGCTGAGCCTCCTTCCAATTGCCCCAAATTAAGGAAGTGCGTATTCCATACATGTTTCTTTTTCTCACATTTGTCTGTAGAAAACATGCAGGTTCACACCACTTAGTAGTGCCTGTACATTGTATAATCACATCCAAGGAACCAAATAGATTGCAGTTCAGGCTAAATAACACATCCTTTCTTGGATTGTTGATTTATCTCTTATTAAAAATTGGATTTCCCTCATGATAGGGAGAAAACATGTATGTGTTGAGACAACAGGATAACATGTTGCTCAGCCATTTATCTCTCTGGAAGGACAAAAACCCTGGGTTTTTAACAAAATGTCTGGGAGTTTGTTTTTTGGTTTTTTTAAAGATTTATTTATTTATTTACACAAGCACTGGGTACAGCCAGAAGTGCGGGAGGGTGAGAGAATTCACCAGAGCCAGAGCAGGGAGCAGAGCAGGCAGAAGGACTGAAGCACACTGCTCAGGGGAGCAGCAGGCGGCAGGAGAGGTCTGCGTGCCAGGTGGGACCCTCCTCTGGTGGCCGGGGAGCAGCCAGGGATCTAACCGGGGCTGCAGAGGCTGCGGGCTGCTTTGCAACCCAGCACTCAACCGCTGCGCCACCAGGGAGGCCCAATGTCCGGGAGTTTTGAAGCCTAGAGATTAGCATACTTCTACTCTTCCCTTTAAAATGTCTTCTGATGACATGTCAGCAATTCCAGGATGTCAACTTGACCTAGTTTTATTAAGGTCAAAAGGAAAATGTTCCCTATTATTAATTTATTATTCAAAATGTCCTCCAGTTAAATGATCCTTTGGTTTTTTGGGAGGAGTCAATAAATCACTCTTAACCCTTTTTATTACTCTGTTCACATAATAAATATTGTAGGTCGCTTTAAATATATCAGTACTAAAAAAAGGTAAAGAGTGGCTCACAAGTTTTCAATGTTTTGAGTTAACAATTAGATTTTTCAGATATTATATAGGAACAGAGCTAGAAACTAATTAGGGAAACAAAGTGCAGGAGTGCATGGGCATGAACCCACACACGCACACATACACACACACACACACAAAGGAAACACTGCTTAAATGTAGCATTCAGGTCATTGAGGGGAACGTAAATTGTTGTGGTTGAAGTATTCAATCTCTTACTTTCACAGCTTCATTTTCACATTTGTAAAGGGATCCAGGCCCACAGTCTGAGGGTGATAATGGTTCCACAGGGAAAGAAGGTCCTCTATTTGCTGACCAGCTCACACACACAGGTTGGAAGGAAGAGTGAAGACTCTTCATCATGAACTTGCCCATATTCAGAAGGTAGCTGCTTTCCTCTGTTCTGGTTTACTGGGTTCCTTCTTTTCCCCCACTAACCGCATTATCACAAAGGGCTTAAATTTGCCATATTCCATCAAAAAAAGGAGAAATCATAACTCACCGTCAGACTCTGATTTAGGGGAACAAATAAGAAGTGCTTTGATTTGGTTAATAGTTGCTACAATGGGTTTTTATCACATACTGTTCATGTTTTATAACAATTGGGAAGAATTTAGGGGGGCTCAGGTTTGTCAATTCTATCCCAGCAGCACCTTCCCTTGCCTCGGTGGGGAGAGCAGATGCCTGAGCCTCCATCTAACCACACAGTCCCAGTCAGCCCACCCACCAGGGACCCCACAGCACTCACTGAATTAGTGCAGGGAGACTTGGAAGCTACAGAGAGGTGGAAAAAAAGAAAAAATACATTGTCTTCTAATGTGACTACTAATGCAATTAAAAGATGGGTGATGGGAGAAAATCCACATAACTTGTTGACTGAATTTTCAAGTGTCAGACAGAGATGATAGGATTTGAGAAGTAAGGAACTGCTGAGTCACC